CCTGTGTAAATACTCGTAATGGCTAATTATTTGGGAGAGTGTGTATTTGACCGTCTTTTCACCTGTATCAGATAATGTATGAGACACCTGCGTGTGGGCCACTTCTTGTTTATTCTAGGTAATTAGCAGTGTGTTCAACTGATCTGGATCTGATCTTGTTGGGTTTGGGGTATTTGCATCAGAATGACAAAAACTGATTCATGATCGGGAAACTAAAACTATATACACTTCTGTTATTACCTCAAAGACCGGTTTGAGGAATTTAAACAATTCATATCATCATGACATTAGATGTTTTGGTTCAGTTCTGTGTTAGACATATTCGATACACTATGTTTCAGGTGTACGAGGTCAGATAAAGTAGGTTATATATATACAAAATATACAACAACGTTATGAACAAGAATTATGATTGTATGTTTCATTGGCATTCTAGCATGCGGCTTCTTAATAGCAACTTCTTGTTCATTGCACAAAGCAACGTGTGACGAGCGCTGTGAATGTAGTGACTGACGAAGGGTACTACATACCATAGCCTACGAAGAGCTGATCAAGCTATAGACTTCAATCAGCACCCGTTTTTTATGACTGTTTTTACAACTTAATCCGTCCTGCTTATCGGCTTCATGGCTGTGCTATTTATTGTTCTTACTTCCCACCTGGCCTCGTCCAATTATCTACCCCTTGTTATTCAAGTACACGATGTTTGTCACAGCATTCGATCATTCTAATCACTTGGTTTTTTGTCACCGTTAGCTTGAACATGGTGTGAGAACCTACACAGAAACGTTGCTCTATGCAATTGACAAGAAGTTGCTATCAAAAAGACCGTATGCTTTATTATCAATTATGCTGTCGCATTCCTGGGAAATTAGAGACAATTGTGAATGTCGAGTCATCACTGATTTTTTTAAATGATGTTAGTCACCCAGGATTCCTACAAACTATACCAGTCCTAATGATTCATTCATCCACATCTCTTGTTTACCTAACACTGCCGTTGCAATAAACAGCCTATAAATTGGATCAGTAAAAGAGCAAAACTTGCTTATGAAAATATCTCTTCAGGTAATGTGTTGAAACGGCTGGTTTGTGCACATAGATAGTGCTAAACATAATGTACCATTGCACAAATGAAATGCACAAAGTCAGTATTTTGAAGTCAGTGGTCCAACAAACTATAATGTCTACATTCTATCGAAAAGGTATCTAATTTTCTAAATGGTGAATGAAACTTGATGAATACGTTTGGAAAGAGCTACGATATATACCTGCAAAACGCAGAGGTTGTTCGAGATTTATACAGTATTGTGGTGTCGATGATAAAGTGAAATTCTTCTCACCCATTGCAGCGACGTTGCAGCTCATCAGATGAGCTGCTGTTTAATTATCAAGTACTCACAGTAACATGTATCTGTGATTTGCCGACTTAACGAATAGAGATATTTTCATCGTCTGTCTGAACGGTCTTGCAGGATGAACAGCGCGTTCTTCTTGGCTAATCTGCACATTACACCATACACACACCATTTTTGCACACCTTATTGAGAAAGGTTATTGGCGCAAAACAAACACAATGGTGTACACGACCACCCACACCTCCCTCCACGGATGTCCACGCCCCACTGGGTGTTCACGTAATCTGTTGTAAAGCGTATCAACATCCCAGGCTACGGTCCAAAGTCCAAATATATTTCAATGAACATAGGACTGGTAGTTAAAATAGTTATATTTGGATTCGTCTGACAATGCACACCACCATATGATTTTAGAGCCTCACGTTACTGACTTACATTCATATCGTTCTTTCAACACATTTTCGCTTCATGGATGACGTCGTCTTTATTATATAGGATGCGGTGTTTCAATATAGATTATTATACCGTTGTCAAGCGAGACTGAGGTGCTGTAGCAGACTTATATATACATCAACATGGATTAAGCAGTTCAAATCCGCGGACACAAAGCCCTCCATCAACAGAGATGAAGGATATCTCATCCCATCTGCATTCAATGAACTGATAGCAACAGCTTAGCGGAGCATTCCAGCCATGTATATTTTCTACCTCTTGGACATTTGACTTCCCCCTGTTGTCACTGCTCTATTACCACTATCCTATAGTTGTTGCTGTTAATCCCTTTGATGCACGCCTACATGTTGTTTTACTTAATTCCTGTAAAGTTTGATCTGTGCAAAGAGTGGGCACCTGCTCCTTTTGATAATTATGATTACCCCCTCTCTAATAGAGTTTTGTCATTTGCAATGAATTATAGTAACCCTTATCGTAGATCACCCAGCCTCCCATTCATGCATATAATTCTTTTTTTTTCGTATCTTAGTTATTTCAGTCATGTGAAATGTTTTGTGACAACATATATTTGCTTGGGCACTGAGCCGTTGCCTACCTTTTCCTGTACCACATAAAATCTGCATGGTATGCCGGTTGATATTGTTATTTGAAATCGGCAGACAATGCACACCTGTTGTTGCTGCAGGACAATGAATATTTCCGATACGACATTGTAAGTACTTGGGGGTGCAGACATATGACTTAAATATGTTTGCGCATGCTGCTTAATATCATATCTGTGTAATACCACAGTATACATGGATAAACTATCAAACTATGCATCGTTTAGAAAAAAAGTATTTTGATTACATGAAAGAGAATATTTATAAAGTTATAACTTGTGAAAATTATATGTGCGGGCCCAATGTATGTTTCATTACAAAGTTCTCTGTTAATGTCTTCCTACAATCAACAAAATATCATCATCTGGTGTTTAACTGAACCGACAAAACGTACTGGATAGAACCCAAAAGACGTGTATTGTCCATGCGGCACCGCCCGACACTGTTTTGTGGTGTTTTCCCTGAGTGGCCGCTCTCTGGATTACGCAATTGTTAATTGCTGAGGCCACCAGGGACAACCGAACCGGGACGGTGGCCGCTTATAGGGACAGCCCCATAAACAACCAATTATCAGGTGTGAAAACAATTAGATTTTCTCGGGGATTGTCACTTTGAACAGTGATACATTGTCGCTTAGGTATTGTTTATCATCTCAGCTCCGTACGCTGGTCATGTTGAGCGTGTTGATGGAGGCATTTCTAGGAATATGTCAATGATCAAATATTGTTATTATGTATCTAGTATGTGTCCAAACATATTGAATGCATTTATATTTATAGGAAAAGACTGAGGGTTTTTCATGTTGTTCAGAATATATGCTAATAATAAGCCTTCAATGATTTGAATACATGAATTCATTCAACTAAACTATATACAATGTATATATAGACAGATGATATATATGCCAGGGTAGAGATTGCAAGCGGAGTCTGTACTGGCAGAAACTTATTATATAGAATAACCTATGCAATTGCAATCTCTACCAGTGGAAGCTCCATTCTGATCGTACATATGATTTTTTCATATGTGAATGTTGAACCATAGTTTGTATCAACAAAATGGTCATGATTAGGACATTATCAATTAATGCAATTTGTATTAAAGTGAGATACATTGATATGGAATTATTTGAATTTCTTTACATTTTTCACATATTAAAATAACATGCATAACAAATGAATATTGTTGTTCAGCAAATAAAGTGTTGTTTGCCTACAGAACAATCAGGGTTTCTACTAGTTGAATTGGAAATTGTACTGGTAGAATCGGATCTGACAGGTAGGATCCGATTTCAATCTCTACTAGTAGGATACTGGTAAAGACTGCGAAGTCTCTACTGGTAGAATCTCCGATCAGATCGCAATCTCAACCCTGACAAATATTTATATATATATTGGACACATATTTCTCCGAGAGGATCTATCTCTGAAACATTTGGCACTCAAAGACAACAGGGCTCATGTCTAGCATGAAATGATTGTAATTTCGTCCAGTGAAACTCATGTAATACAGAACGTGAATAAAAGATGTATAATGAAATCACCATATTATTTTTATTTTCATTTAGTTTTGATAAGATGTTAAAATATACCTTGTAAGATTTGTGCGGCGATCTACTTCTGGGAACCATTATCCCCTCCCACTTGAAGTTGTTTACAGGAGAAAGTAACATTCCTTTAAAGAAAATCCATATTGAATTATCCCAAAATGGTGTCTAATATTTTTCAATTAAGATAATTTTGGTAGTGAAATGAAAATTTCTGCCAGAAATTTCTGCGGTAAAAAAAAAATCGGTCAGAAATTTCTGCGGAAAAAATAAATTCTGCCAGAATTTTCTGCAGAAATGCATTTTCAGAGCCCATTTGTGAGCTTATGAACACGTGCGCGCACTGGCACATGGACTTTTTGAGTTCATCTCGAGATCATTCCAATGATATAAAATATGTCTTTGTATCTCGCTTCCTTCTATGTGTCAAGTTAGGACTCGCTGGCCATTCCTAAGTTGTCCCACCCGGCCTAATATTTCTTCTGGGATGACTATTCCTTTCTGACCACGATAAATATAAACTTCAAATCGTCTTTAAATATTTCGGGGTTCATCCTTGAAATACGTTTCTTCACGTCGTCGTACAGCCCATCAACTATCTGCTCCTTCTCCTCCAATGATCGGGAATCTGAGAGACCATTCATGAAGGTGCTGTTGCTCCAGTTCCTGTGAGCGGAAACGTACATCCTGGCAAACTCCTCCCTATCATCAATTCCTTCTTTCTCTTTCTTCTCTCTCCAGTTGTTGTAAAATACATCAGGGTTCACTCCGGCTTCAGCTGACAAGAGAGTTAATCCTGACCTTGAAACGGATGACGTTTTGTTATCGAATGGTTTTGTCATCTGCTCCATGTTACGCAAACAAAGGGACAAACTTGTATTAACGAACTCTTCGTTTGTGATCTTACCAGTTCCACTGTATTCCTTCCAAACCTCAGTCAATAGTCCTATAAACGAATGCAGAAGGCATCTATCCCCAGTGTTTCTGCCCTCAAACTCAGCGCAGGTACCTACGACAAGTAAGCCTCCTCGTTTCAGTTCTCTACTTCTTCTCAGTAAAAAAGGTCTCCCAGTCCAACTCGGCTTGCTTGTTTAGTGCAGTCGTCTCCTCAGTACTACTCTTGGCATCTTTGTAAATCGAGTCCTTGAAGGTGGTTGGAGTCCTTGACAACCAATGGACAGCCGTCATTGACATCATGAAATGCATTGAGTTTGAAGGTACACACTGCTTGTAGAAGTTTGTCCCTGAAGCAAGGACATAGACATTGTCCATTTCCAGGAGGTAGGACGGCGGATCAGGGATGATTCCTGACATACGTTTGAAGAGGGAATTGAAATCATTCATTTCCAAGTCTTCATAAATAACCTGGAACTGGGTGTTGGGACCATGATGGTCTTTCAAAGTGGCCAACAACTCACGGAAAATGGCCATGGCAGTAGAACCATCAGCTGCACCATAGTCGGCAATGTTGAAGACCGAGTCCTTGTCAGTGAAAGGAATGGTTTTGGCTAAGCTGAGAATCGTTTCTCGTACTGGTTTGACATATCCAACATTTTGTTTTCCGAGTGTTGATCCGTAAATTCCGTCACCTTTTTTTTCCATATGGGTGATATGCTTTAGGAATATCTTCATAGTATCTCACTGGTACAACTGTAAATCCCTTGTGAATGCGTAGATGTCTTCTGATTCCTGAATAGAGTATTCTGATGGACATAGTTGACGCAGTGGGGTTTTTCTAATTATAGAGGGTCGCATGCAATCCCGTTGTGGAATTGTGGCCTGAAAAAAAGACAAATCATATATTCAGTCACAGGTTTTACGATCACCCCCTGTCTAGCTCCCCTTATCTTCACATTCATACCATTCTGATTATTGTTGAGAATACCAAGATTAATAACAACAAGAACGATTATATTAAATGATACGATGTCGGTATAAAAATTGCATTTAGGGGCACTGGCTGTTCAAAAAAATTCATTTTGAAATATTAATATCACAGTCAGAATTTTATTTCTATTATTGCCAATCACTTTGAACAACACAATCAGTTGCAACAGACTGGTTTACTGTTTACACTTATCGTAATATAACACCTCAACAAGGAGCACTCTAAGTCAGTTCAACACAGTGGTAAAATCCTCACGCAACTTACACTACTCATGTTTCTACTTTGTGTACAGCGAGTGAGTGAGTTAATATTTAACGTCACATCGGCAATATCTCAGCCATATCGTGACGAGAACATTTTAATTTATATCAATATAAGAAACAATATATTGAGAACATAAAAACCTGTCAGCGAAGGACAGTAAAACTACTAGAATATCACAGCCCTTAATTTAAAACTAGCACGCAAACATAAAAATATATCAGTATACACAACAATACAATATAAAACCGGGCTATAGATCACCAGCAACTGAAGTCTGATCACCATACTAGGGACCCCTTGAGTACAGGTTCAATGCACAACTGTCAACCTCAGTAGGTTGAGGTGACCTGGTATTCCCAAGTGTACTTTCTAAGCGAGCGTCAGAAAGATGTTAGCTGCATGGAGGAAACGTAATCCATTAACCCATGCTCACTCCTCGCGCTCGATAACCCATTGTAAAGCGCCCGACGCTGTCACCAGTTTGCATATTTTAGCCATGTAAAACAGAACATGCAGATGTACACCTGAACTTTGCGATAATATTGTGCTTACGAAATGCAAAGTAGTTTCACAAGTATTAACAGCATTTAACATTATAACACCATCAGATTTAACTACCTTTGTTTGTCCAACACTCATCTTAACCCAAGCTGCGATTCATTCAAATTTTTCATCTGAACAATATGCAATTTGAAAAAGCATACAATTACAATCTTTTGATCAGACTACCCGTGTCTATCAATATATAGATATGTTTGTATGCAATTAAAGCTTCCGTCACACAATTTCATTATTTTAGTCAGCACTTCAGATTTCAGTATTGGAGTAACAGTTTGGTAACAGTCAGCAGTGGTACCACACTTTATTTGTTAACATTTTAACAGCACACCTCGCAATTCCTCTTCAATTATAGCTCAACCAAACAGTTGTATTCTATCTGCTTCATATATCACCTAGACTAGGAAAGCAATAGCACTGTTATATATGTTGCATAGAATTTACATTAAAAATATAATAAATATTTAAAACATGGGGTGTGTAAAAGCTGTCTGGTGGCAACAGTGTTCATATTTTCTATGTGTGTATTGGTTTGTTCACATGAAGCTATTCCGCACATATGGCCTCTCTTGATCAGTAGCGGTCATTGACAACAGTGAAATACTAAATAGATAAACTATGCTTTTATCTGAACAACATTGTGTGAATAGACATATACACACACACACACACACACACACACACACACACACTTTCTCTCTCATCAGATGCAATAAAGTTGTTTTAGAAACTCAATAATAAACAATAAAATCGAACTTACATTCACCAAACGATGTTTTCTTCGTCACCAGCTCAAGTCTGCTCAAGTTACGCGATTTGCAGCAGACCCTATCTTAGTATTTGATAGCTGCGCAGTTGCAGTTACGTGACGTACATGTCAAGGAGTTGCCCGATTATCTGTGACAATAGGCCCGTGTCGAATGTACTCTTAAACTCCTGAAACTGTTTGTTTCCAACAGAACCTAGATCTTGTGTGTCTAAACTAGAAACCTTTATCTGTTCATCAGTGTATGACAATCTGCATATACTGCAATGTCTGTGATATTTTGGTGATTTCTTACTTCTATCATAGTTCTGAAATATGTAAATTTTTCCTCAATCTTATAAAAATAATTCTGAAATAGAACTCAACAGCACATTTTGTTATTATCCCCCGCCGCGCGTTTAGCGCGAAGCGGGGGATATAGTATTTGGCTCCGTCCGTCCGTCCGTACGAATTGAAATATCTTAAGAACCGTTCTCTAGATTCTTTTCATATTTGGTACCCAGGCTCATCACAGTATAAGAAAGGTCCAAGTCAGGTTTGGTGACCTTGACCTTCATTTCAAGGTAACAAGGGAACATCAACGTTTTACCTGCATGTTAAGCTATCTTCATATCATGGTGGAACTCGTGACCTTCATATGTTATCTGACCTCGCTTTTGTTCGGTCAGATACCATAGGAAGGACACTCATGTAGGAATGAGACCTCGTGTAGTATTCTCTATGTATCCCACTGAGTGAACATCTAGATGTCTGTGGGAAAGGAAACGATATTAAATTTAAATATTTCCTTTTATCAAGTTCAAAATTCGGACAAAGTAAAACGAATTTTAAAAGAACACTACTAAGATAAGTTCAAACCAATGCTAAACCATTGCAAGCTGTGACCTTGTCGCTCTAGAATGTTGTCCCTATTGTGACGTCACAATGTATGTTTTGTTATCAATCTTTATTCAGAACTGAAGGCCACAGGCCCATAGTACAGGTATATACAAAGTTCAAAAGCAGAGTGGGTTTCTCTTCAATATCGCATGGTATATGAACAAAGCAATATTTTCAATGAATATACGATTAGAAGTTGACAACAGTTGGATAAATTTATGTTTTGACGGTTGTTTCGTAAAGTAACTGGGTATATATTTGCTTCTAATGTTTCTATAAGATTAAAAATTAGCAGAAGATGGTATTCATCTGCCAAGACATTCATTTTACAGTATCTGCACACAGTAGATTTCTTATGAAGTTTTCCCTTATAACAACTTAAATCATAATAAACGGAACGAAACTGTGATAAGGCTAGTCTTACTTTCTTGATATTGATACAACGTACATATGGTTCACACAAGAAGTCTTCTTTTAACAGGGAATAAGTAAATGTACAGGGACTATTTTGGAGTTTTGCATGCCACTCCTGTATAAAGCAATCTTTGCTTCTTCTTACAAGTAAATTTAAGAATTGGTGCTTATTTCCAACTCCCTGCCATATCCACGCATAACCTAGTCCAAATCTAAATAAAACTGTTTTTACATGTGTAGCCCAATTAAACCTATTACGCTCGGCGCTTGCGTTTAAATCTAGATTTCATAACATTTTGTAAGCTTTAAATGGATAGCGTGAAGAGGGCATGGAGAGGAGCTTTAGCCAGTAAGCAATACAGCGTTTTAGAGTGTACACATGAATAGGATATCTACCAGTTTCTCCAAGGACAATTGTATTTGGTGTAGACATTCGCACACCAAGGAATCGTTTACATGCATAAAGCAATACCCTTTCCAGACAATCATGTTTGTGAAACCCCCCTAATTCTGACCCATACAATAATATGGGTAGTATCTTACAGTCGAATATTTTGAAATAGACATCATATGACAAGTCTTTAAAGCTACAAAGGCATTTTGTAATAGACACTAAAGCTTTCTTTGCCTTAAGTGAAATGTTTTTGGCAGAGAGGGACCAATTTAGAGTTATATTAAATGATACTCCAAGGCACTGGTACGATGTAACAGCTTCAAACATAGCTGATTTATATGTCAATTTTTCTGATTTTGATAGTTTAGGTCCTTTTTTAAAAATCATAATTTTAGTTTTATCAAGGTTAACATTTAAGGACCATTTATTACAGTAGGTTTCTAAAGCATTAATTTGCCTCTGTAGACCAATTACTGACTCTGAGAAAAACACCACATCATCGGCAAACATCAAAATAAATATTTCAATAAGATCTGGATATAATTAGACGCCAGTGGAACATGAATGGTTAATCTCAGACACTAGATCGTTGATAAAAAACGAAAATAGGAAAGCTTAGGACACAACCTTGCCTAACACCAACATGACAGTCAAATACGTCTGTAAGAACATTGTTATTTGTGCGGACACAGGCTTTAACATTTTCATAAATGCTTTTTAATGTATATGTATATATATGTAATGACGTCATACTGTAACTGCTACAATCTCCCTGAAGAGTAAGGAACGAAACACATTGGAGAAAAAGGCATTCTGTTTTTATTTAGCTATGTGATATTTATGACTGAACACCTGTACTATTTTGGACATTTTGTGCGTATATATATATATATATATATATATATATATATATATATATATATATATATATACTTTAAATATATAACACGCTAACTTGTGAATTGACGACGCCTAAACATGCGTAGGAGTATAGCGGCTACTTGTTTAATAAGGGGTGTATAGGGTATATTGCCGTGACAGCGTTCCACAAGCCATATCTGATATCCTTATATATCCTGCATGGTGTAATGTTTATTCGGATATCAGATATGACTTGTGGAACGCTGTCACGGCAATATACCCTGTACACCCCTGTTGACCAGGCCACTCTCATTATGCAAGATAGCCAGTTTATTAAACAAGCAGCCGCTTTACTCCTACGCATGTTCAGGCATCGTCAATTCACAAATTAGCCTACCTCTTCACTATTTAACTTCACCTATTTGTCCTTATTTTAACCTCAGGGACCAATTTCGCATTCCCAGTAATATTACACTATTTTAATAGCTGATTGTAATTTATTATCTAATTTCAACTTTTGTCTCTAAATGCAATGTAGTGCCTCATAGGCCGTATTGCCCGGATGTTGTACTCAATTT